GGCGCTCTACTCGAAAAATATCAGTTAATCTAATTCATATAACCTGCATGAATACTACCAACTGGGTTTTATTTATAAATAATAAAAAATGTTGGGGGATAACCAGAAACATCATAAAATACCCAAAGTAATACAATTTAGGGGGAACTAGAAGATAAAGACTTCTAGGCAACTAGAGGGCGCCTGGAGTTCTCGTTACCTTAAAAAAATCGCCGAGTACTCAGGCATACATTTTGGTGAACATGCATTAGTCAATGCACAGTCCCCGTCTGGTTTTACGGAGAGTCGATCTCAAATGTTCAGTTCAGTGTGACGGGCAAAATGTAGCAATTTTAATCACACATTTAGACAAATGGCGGTCAGCTCAAAATATATACAATGTAATATGAACATGATAAAAAGTTTGAAATTAAACTGCTCTCAGTTCATCTCCGAGAAACAGTTATGACCAAAACGGACGTTTATATGTAAGCCACCATTCATGGAGTTTGCGTTACGTTCGAATGATATCGGCCAAAGCAAAGGACTTAAAGTGGACGAATGCATGGTCGGCGGAACGCAAACTATTATTGCCTGATTTCGGACAGATTGACTGTGAAGTGACCCACTATTGGAGTGTGAACACCTTCTAAATGTTTCGACATCATTTTTGGTTGGGGGGGGGGGTAATTTTCGTTCAATGTAATTGCAATATTTTTTTTGTTCGTACAACGTAAATTGAAAAAATAAATTCCGTAATTCTGTAATCACGGGCTAGACGTACAACATAATCAATCAAATATTGTTTTCGTACACTGTAAAAATGTGTAATTTTTCTCGGTACGTACAAGAATTTACATCCAAATAAAAAAAGTCGTAAAGAATAATCCAGGGAATTTACATTTTCGAAACTCTAAAATGACTAGATGACACAATTCACTGAAAAATTCAATTTTCACTGTAAACTGTAAAAATGTCTTTTTTCCTTGTAAATTGTAAAAAGCCCTTTTTATTTCCCGTAAAACTGTACCAGCTACCCCCTTGCCCCCCCTCGAGTATCAATCCTGGAGATAGTGCATCGACCATACAACATGGTCACAGGCTTCGAAGACCAAATCACAATAGGAATAACATATATCGGAAAGAATTCATATCATTCATTCATTCATTCACCAGTTCAGACAATACAGCCAATTTGGTATTTGTCGCTTGACCTGACCTTAAAGACACGTTGGTTTACAACTGGTGCTCCAAACATTTTCTGCAATCCGTTTGTCGCTTTTGTAAACCTTATCTGGTCCGACTCTAAGCTTAATGGCAAGACTCGTTTGTCTATATTTTCTCCAATTTGGTGTTTACTGTTCCGTAGACCTTACCTACACCGACCCACGTTTGGGTATACATTACCGCCAATATGGTGTTAGCCGCTTGCGTAAACCCTAACCCCAATTCTAAGATACGATATCTCAGGTGCGAACATCACCGCTAATTATTTTACTTATCAGCGAAAAAAGCGAAATTAAAAACATTGGGCAAACCAGGATCTTATTTTAATCAGATTGTTCAAGTTGATATTTTCAGTTTGTCTAATTTCCGTTTTTCATGGTAGCTCTGAGCGGGTATTTTCAAGTTAATGATAATGTCTTACCTTGGAGAACCAAAATGCCTCGATTAAAGGTCATGCATTTTGTGACGTCACCAATTCGTGTGTTAGTACGTCTTCCCATGAGTCAATACACGTCAAACGGTATGTAAACAACTCGTAAATAATTGATTGCGGAACAAACACACAGCCATGGCGAATGTTGGTCAAATTATTGTTCGGTATATACTTTTTATTCTTTTAGGTATTTTCGTTTACATAATTTACGATTCGCTATTTCCACTTGTACCTATTGGAAAAAGTAAATTCGCATTTAGTTTGACACCAGTTCCGTTCAAAGCGTCAATTGGCGTGGTGATTATAATTGGCGTATGGATATATATGTTACCGGCGAAGCGTTTGGAAGTTGGGCGGAAATCTGTTCTAGTAACAGGTGAGTGTATATCCCGGGAGTATCCTAGATAGGTGGGTACCTAATGCTGGTACGTTTCATTAATCGTGCTTTCCAATGTGCACGTGGCTGAAATATTATAGATACTCAACACACCCACAATATTTGTAACGCGGTACTACGGGATCGATACCCAAGGTTGTACTGCATTTAATGTGACCCGGAAACGGATTGTACAAAACACTACGGTGTTCAAAGTAAATTACTTACAAAACAAAATAAATGGATATAACAGACACCGTTCACCTTGAGCGTACAAGTTTAATATACCGGTACATACGAATCAAATGTTATCAGAGTATTTTGACCACTGGTCTCAGATCAAAGTCCACCCTACAAGTCACATCACATACACTAACACAATTTCACAGACGTGTTTAATATAACTGCGTAGTCTGGAAGCCTAGATCTACACTCAGAAAAGTAATAGAAGTCTGAGATCTACAATTCGAATTCAAGAACAGGTTGTGATATTTGAGAAGTACATTATTTCGGGGTGAATTTTAGCCAAGGAGCATTTTGTAGCCCATTTACCATTTACCATATTACGATGTGCAATCACTGTATCGTGATGTCCAGTCACCATATTATGATCATTTCCAGTCACTCAGTATATCGTGATTTCACAAGGGTTGGACCATTAATTATAGGGATGACTACCGGGATTACATTAATATATTTGTTTCTATAGGATGTGATAGTGGGTTCGGACATGCACTGGCAATATACCTAGACCTACTGGGGTTCCACGTGTTTGCTGGATGTCTCTTTAAAGACGGTGAGGGGGCAAAAGAATTACGTAACATGTGCTCAGAGCGGTTAACAATTCTACAGTTTGACGTCACTAGCCAGATTCAAGTAGACAATGCGCTTGAGGAGGTTAATAACAAGTTGAAAGGAGGTACGGTTTAGTATTTCTGCGATCAACTCTAATGATGAAATATTTTGAATGTGTCCGAACCGTCGGATCCTATCTTCAGAAATCACGTGAATGTCCTTCTTTCCAAAACAATTGTGCAATCCCAACACAGAATAATGCAGAGGGCTCAGTCTTCTTATGTAGCACTCTGAGATCCCAACTTCGTTTCAGTTGGACATTTGAAAATGGATCACACTGGCTACTGATAGTACTAAAGAACGTGTAGCTAATTAACATGTTCTGGTGGAACCAGTTTCAATATGTTGGCACTGATAAAAGTTGACCCAGCAGTCTTCACTA